CTATAGAATATGTATTTTGGGAGGAGCACCGGTGACCGGCTTTTACTGTGACAAGATGGTCGCTGCTGGCCTGTGAATGTTCCTGCGTGTCCTCTCCTGTCCTGGGCAGCTCCATCTTGTCAGATCTGATCAGTGATAATATCTGGCCGGAGGCGCCGTGACCTCTCCGCATATTTTTTTTTGTAGTGTTGCAGCCTCAGGCCTCAGCGTTGTCACCAGTTTCTTACAACAGGCTGAAGGCTCGCGTATCTGGTGAGCTCTACCGAGTACAAAACGTGATCCATTGTAATCGGTCACCCGCCCTCCCCGCACCAAAATCTGACTATTGTTCTCGGCCATGACGACCTTTCATTTCAGTAACGGGAACTAACAATGGAACGTGTTATCTTGTCTTTTATTAATAAGGTCAGAGTACAGAAAGCAGCAGCCGCTACCACCATTCCCTGTATGGTTATATTGTCTCGTTGGGTCCCCAAACCTCCTCCATACAAGCCAATGGTTCCCATACACTGCACTGATGGGGGCCAAAAAGTCTGAAACAGCTGTGTGCCGTGTGGAATAAATGGCTCTATATTGGGTTTTAATTGCACTATACACCAGAGGTTCTGTATGTCCATTTGGCTGTTGGGGTACAAAGGAAATATTTGCATGTCTCCGCCCACTGTCCTGAAATGAGGAATGATCCGCTTATGCAATGAGACACATTGATACCTTCTGTTCTATGAAGGCTTTACTGGGCTATACACTGATTAAGCTGGAGGGCTGGACAGGAAGAGTGGGGGCTAGAGGAGAGAGAGACGCAGAGAGCGGGGCAGAGAAGAGAGAGACGCAGAGAGCGGGGCAGAGAAGAGAGAGACGCAGAGAGCGGGGCAGAGAAGAGAGAGACGCAGAGAGCGGGGCAGAGAAGAGAGAGACGCAGAGAGCGGGGCAGAGAAGAGAGAGACGCAGAGAAGAGAGAGACGTAGAGAGCGGGGCAGAGAAGAGAGAGACGTAGAGAGCGGGGAAGAGGAGGGAGAGACGTAGAGAGCGGGGCAGAGAAGAGAGAGACGTAGAGAGCGGGGCAGAGAAGAGAGAGACGTAGAGAGCGGGGCAGAGAAGAGAGAGACGTAGAGAGCGGGGTAGGGGAGAGAGTGGAGCAGATAGAAGAGAGGTAGACATAAAAGAGATATGGGTAGGATGGGGGAGAAAGTGAGAGCGAGCAGTTGGTGAATGAGAAGCGCTCACGTCGTCACTATCACTTGTTAGAACAGCAGAGACATTGTGACAATCAGAATTGAGCCCACATGAGGCCGAGCTCTGCTCTCTTCCTGCACGCTCAGTCAGCACATCAGGAAGTCGGTTTGCGGTCGGCATTCATAATGGGCTATTTTTGCACCTCCGTCACATTGTATTCATCTGCAGAGTGGACAGGGCTCAGATTCCAACATATAAACTGCACTACAACCCCCACCAGGAGTCCTGTGCATGGCTGGATTAGGACCATTCACCCGATCTATATATATATATATAACATCTAGTAGGGGGGCGGGGCAGGTTGCCGGCTAATGTGGGCGATACAGATGTAGGAATGAAAGTGAGGAAACGAGGAAGTGTCGTCTCTGGCGGTTTGGCCTGCAGATTCCAAGGACTTCCTTCTTAAAGTGAACCTGCTACATAGCAGTTTTGGTTTGTTATATCGCACTCATCAAAACAAATGTCAGCTCGTCAAGTCCTTACAGGTTTAAGTAAAGTCGTGGCAAGAGCAATTACACTAAACTCCGTGGCCATATGTGTCATTCCATGTTCCTCCCACAAGCCCAACAACCCCTGTTCCCCACTTGTTGCAGTAGGGGCCATCTTTCTTCTCTCATGGGTCACTCCCATGTTTTATGCCCATTACCATGGCCGTACTAGTGAACTAGGGTGAGGGACATCCATGTACAACAGGGCCAAGGGTGAGGGACATCCATGTACAACAGGGCCAAGCGTCATTTGGCATCTTAAAACTAGGGATGCACCGATACTAGTATCGGTATCAGTGCCAATACCGAGTATTTGGGCAAGTACCCGTATTTGCCCAAATGCTGCAATACTTATCCCGATGCCACAAACTTCCAGTCAGGGGGAGATTTCCTCTGACTGGCAGTGACAAGAGGGAACATGGAGCCAGCTTCCGGGCCAATCAAGAATGACTCACGGCCCGGCTTCCTGATTGGCCGGGAAGCCGGTTCCATGCCGTTTGGCTGGCTACATGATGATTGGCTGGAAAGCCGGCTTCCCAGCCAATCAGAATGGAGCCGGTCAAAGAGCTGGTTTACCAGCCAATCAAGAAGCCGGGCAGCAGGTAATGACCTGCCTCCGGGATTGGCCGGGAAGCCCTCTGATTGCCTGGGAAATCGGATT